CCCCCGCTGTGGAGGTAAGTTATACTTGGCAACCCTACTACACACAAAGGCTCTTGATGCAATCACATCAAAGTTGCTTTTTTGTAAAGTTCTGTCAGTCCACATGTACACATTGGTAATGCAGAAGGGAAGGGGATCTAAGTGAACTGAATTTACATGCTGGAATTCATTCTGGGATGGATTTCAGAAATGTACAACATCTTAATCCTTTATGGTTATTCCTGCCTCTTTAGGCCTTATTCTTCTGCCAGCAGTGGGCACCATGGTGACCTGTGATTTAGACATCGTGTCCAGTCAGTTTCTGTCTTGGAAGGGCTGTCTTGACCTTAACAACCTAATCCTAAATCCAACACACCATCGCTATAACAATGCTACATAATCTCTGTAATTCTACTATCATTGCAATGACATTGTTTGCACATTGCAGGCTGGGATGGTATCACAATTTTTAGGCTCGGGGTACACAAAATGTGTATTTCTGTTATATTCCTTTATATTTCTTTTCATGCATACATAAAGAGGTGCTTTTCATAGCCAATCTCTTGCCTAGTTGATAATTTTTCCCCTTTCTGAGTCTCCATTATATGCAAAGACAGATGTCTCAGTCTTATGAATAATCAGATGTAAATTAACTAACTGAGGTGAAAATTCACCTTGCACTCCTCTGGCCCACATAAAAGGAAACGAAAGCAACCATGAAATTAATTTTATTTACCATTAAAATGATAACTGGAACATGAATTGCAGTGATGTGAAAATAAATTAATTTTCAGCAATCCTCAAATAAGTTAAATGTCAAGTTGTGTTCCCTGGAAATGTTTTAGCACCACTTTTTAAAGGACTTGTTTCCTTGCTTCTTTTACTTCCTTGTAAAAGAACCCTTCTCCCTGATGTGGATAGCCCAAGCTAGCCCGATCTTGTTAGATCTTGGAAACCAAGCCGGTTGGGTTGGCCCTGGTCGCTATTTGGATGGGAGACCATGAAGGAATACCAGGTCCGTGATGCAGAGGCAGGCAATGGCAAACCACCTCTGAAAGGCTTGAAAACCTTACGGGGTCACCATAAGTCAACTGTGACTTGATGGGGGGGGGGGAAATCAGAATAAATCCTCAGAAGGTGGTCATTTTGGAAAGGAGGCCGGGTTCAAACTACACATACTCAAGATTCCCTTCAGTACAGATACCATTTGAGCTGATTTTGATATATTACTGGGGGAAAGGGGGGGACACACAGAAAAGGGTGTCTGTTATTTGTGCTTTTCTGTATCATTTATCAGACTGTGACAGGTGTTCTACCAATTCATTGTATATTTATTAACCCACCTCTGTAAGCTAGCTTCCTTTGGTATGAAAGGTTGTGTTGCCGAAGGACTGTATGATGACTACTGCTATAAACCAATTACATTCTATATTATCTTTTTTCTTGGAGTTTTCATCGTTGGTCTTTCATTCTGATAGCTCTTTAAATCCATTTTAAAGAAGGGAGGTTTTAGCCAAGCCTGTGAATCCTGTCACTCAAAATAAATTATGACATTTTTCCTCAACTCAGTAAATCCAAATCCCTTCCTTTGAGGGTTCGTTTCGGCCCTTCACAGCCTAGTCCTAGAATCTGATACATCAGCAAATAAATTAGAATGGGACATAACTAGCACTGTGACAATGTTATGTAAACTCTTTCACTACACCAGCACCACAGTGGCATTATTCCCATGCAGAAGGGAATGGTATCACAAAACTCAGAGCTGAAGGGCTGGTGACTTAAAAGTGTACCAGCAATAGTGCTGGTGCCATCCTTGGTCCTTCTAGAACAGGGGTCTCCAGTATGGTACCCAGGGGTCATTTCCTGCAGGAGCGCACAGGAGCGGAGCTCCGCCAGTAAAGAGCACAGAGGGCGGGCACATCCAACAAGCCCCGCCCCCTGCTCCCAGCAGCCCTCAGTCAGAGCAAGAAGCAGCCAGGTAAGTTGCAGAGCTCCCCCCAGGCCCCTGGTCCAAAACAGTCCAGTGGCACCTTTAAGACAAAGTTTTATTCAGGTACAAGCTCTCCCTTCTCTGTGAGGACAGATCTGCACGTTCCCCCCCCACACACACACACACAATAGCTAGCAATCCAAAACAGTCCAGTGGAGCCTGAGCAGTGGGTGTTGCCTTCTGACACACTTCCGGTGATGTCAGGGGGTGTGGCATATGCAAATAAGTTATGCTAATGAGTTATGCTAATGAGCTCATGCGCCTCTTTTTCTACTAAATGACCCCTTATGGTACCCATGGGCTCCATGGTGACCGCCAACACCTTCCCTGCTGCATGGCAACTGTTTTTAAAAAGTGGGCAGGGCCAGCAAGGCTTCTGACTGGCCGGTGGAGATTTGATTGGCTGTGCATATTTTTAAAAAACATTGCTTATGACAGCAGCTGCTACCACAGCACAAGGATCTTCACAGTGTTATTGAAAGTAAGCTGTGGCAGACGTTTTGTGGCTGGCTTCACCTCCTACAGCAGTCATTTTTGTGGCAGCCATTTGAGGATGTGCCCACCACAATATGTCAGAATTACAAAGGTGCCCAAAGGCTCAAAAGTGTTTGGGACCCCCTTTTTGCTCTTGAATAAAAGTTCCAGGAAGCGTGGGGAGTTCTGTGGAATGTTCAGGAGGGTTCCTCAGTGAGAAAATCAGTAACAGCAGAAAGTTTTCTTCAGCAACAGTTTGCCCAGTACTACTACTGTAAAGTGTTAGACACATTCTGGGGCATACCTTCAGTATATAGAGATAACAGTGAGGCATCAAAGGCATCCTGCACAACAAGCCTCTGTTATAAAGTTCACGTCACAATCTTCTATGGTAGGTGTTCAGGGGTTTCTCGCCAAACAAGTCCACTGAAAGAGACTCCTGAAAGTCAATAGTATGAAAGCCGTTGCCCAAGAGCAAAGTGTACATGAAAAACATAAGCATGCATAGATCCTCTCCTGTTTTGTTAGACTTACTATCAAGGGTCTGAAAGACTGTTTGGATGCTTTCACTGTTTCCTACAACATGTGGCTTGGCTCACTTGTTAGAGTCAGCAGGGTTTGCCCTCAGGGAGTTTGCTCCCAGGGCTGTAGCAGACCTAATGAACTTATTCCAAGCCACATGATCCAGTAGATGACCCCACCACCATATTGTGCCACCTTTTTTCCTCTGGGAACAGGGGGCAGAGATTGATGGACTTCCCAAATCCCACTGGAAACCAAGAGGGTGCCTGTTACTCTAGCATATCTATCTTTATGCTTTTCCCCACACTCTGCATACAAACCCTGCCTGAACCTCAACGCTGTTGCTCATTAGTGGCAACCGAGTCAGTAGTCGTGGACACCAGTACCATCTTCGATGAACAACATTTGTATTTTGATTGATCAAGATGGGTAGCTGTGTTAGACTGTCTGTAGCCATAGAAAATAACAGGAGTCCAGTAGCACCTCAAAGACGAACAACATTTGTGGCAAGGTATGAGCTTTCATAAATCGCCACTCACTTCTGCAGATACCGGTACCTGAAGAAGTGACCATTTGCATTTTGGTTGGTTTGTTTTCAAACCACAAAGCAGCAAGAAGTTTTCTGTTCTACCACCAACTGGAGAGTGTTGTACCTGTCAAACCATGCTTCACTTCATTCACCTTGGTTGCCATAGTTAATGGGGGGAGGGAATTCCGGCAGGGAGGGGGTGAGTGAATGTGTGAGAGAATGGGACCTTTGCTTCTAGAAGTCATAACCTTCCTCCAAATCGCAGCTCCTTTCCTACCCTTGCATTTCCCAGGGAGAGGTATCCTTGAGCGTTCCTCTGTACCAACTTTAGCCACAGTAACCAAAACATTTATCTTTCACTGGGTTGGGATGGCAACGTTAGGCGTGGTGTGCGTGTGACGTATGCATGGGGGAAGGAAGGGGCTTTTATTCGAATTATCGATATTAAGCTTGTACCCACCAAAAGTCTTCAGTTCTAGCACAGTGACTTACTGGATCTTGCATACAATTCAATAAACTCATCACTGCCAAGAGAGAGTTGTTGAGTGTAACTGGACAGGGGGTCTGACAGTACCTGTCGTATCCATTCTGCTGTACAGCCACACATCATAAGCCTAGCACAGCCTCAGGTTCAGTGCATGGCATCTCAAATAACAGGTCTGGGGGAAGAGCTCTGCCTGAGTGACCTTGGCGATCCACTGTCAATTAGGATGGACAGCACTGGGCTTGATGGACCAGTGGCCTGAGTAAGCATGAGGCAGGTGCATTTGTGCAGAGAATGGAGCTCAGTGTATTCACATGCATGGAAGCTGCCTGTCCTTTCTTGCTCGTAAAGCTGTAGGCTGCAGCTGCCCCAAATGTAGTTTTTTTTCCCCCCTCCTACATCTTGTAAATGGAAGTAGCTGTCACTCATGAGCCTATGAACAGGCCGATATGTCAATAGGAATTTTCTCTTTTATTACTCTCCTTGCCCAATGGGGGAAGACAGCTGTCAGGTTATCACTGGAAATACATTTCCCTTTGCCTCTTGCAATTTGCAGCCGTTTTCTAGTGTCCGTTAATCTACTGCGTACTGTGTGTGTGTGTGTTGTCAAGCATTTTATTCATCAGTTATGTAATTAGAATCATCCAGAAAAGATGGATCATCTGTGTATGCTGGGGGTTTTTTTAAGTTGTTTTTTTTTCCCAGACAGTGTGTTAAAATTAACACCTAAAATGACAGGGCAGGTGAGAAAGGCTGTGCTGGAGGATTGACCCCTGTAATACCAGCCTAAAGATCTGATAGACTAAAAATATCGTGGGGAGGGAAAAAATTGACTGCCAGATTTGATCAAGGTCTTTTAAACATACTGCCATCAGAACACTGGATGTTTCATTCAGATACAAACGCAACTGCTGTTCCCAGTAGCTGCTGGACCCAGATAACAAAGGTGGAGGGAAGAGTGTTGTGTGAGCAGTAGTGATTTTCAATTCACTGTCTTGTGCCCCCTGCTTCCCCCTTTCCAGGTACAACATGTTTGATTGCCTTACTGTCAGATAAGGAGCTCACAGTGGCCAACGTCGGGGATTCGAGGGGCGTCTTATGTGATAAGGATGGAAATGCTATTCCTTTGTCGCATGATCACAAGCCCTATCAGCTTAAGGAGAGGAAGAGGATTAAAAGAGCTGGTAAGCTTATAAAGTTTGATGTTTGCTTCCTTGGGCACTCTGGTTGAATATTGTAACAGTCTTGGGTTTTGTTGGGCTTTTCGGTTACATAATCGTCTCAAGTCTCTCCTTAGGGAGGCCATCCTGCCTCTCTGAGAACCCAGAATGTAAACAGAGAACCTCAAGGAATGGGAGAGACCCGAGGGACTTGATGTTACTAAGAATCAAGCCACACAAGACAGAAATCAGGATTTCCCAGGCTCTTGTACAAGTACATTTTAGAAATATGCCGTCCCAGTTCCGATTGGGAGGGGAGAAGGTTAGGCCTTCCATCCCTGTATGGTTTTGCTTTCAGGACCACCACAACCACTCCTGTTGCTACTATTAAACTTTGGAAGAAAAAGAGAAAGGTCCACAATTTTATTTATTTTTTTTTTTTTTTGGTCTTCCAAAACGGATAGGAACATTGATAAGGGAGTGACCATTGCTGAGTTGTAGCCTGGGGCTACGAGAGTCCATGGCTGAGTGGTAGAGCATCTGGCATGCAGAAGGTCCCAAGTTCAATCCATGCTATCATTAGTTAAAAGGACCACGTAGAAGGTAATGCGAAGGCCTCTGCCTGACAGCGTGGAGAACTGTTACCAGTCTGCCAGTCAAAGTAAACAGTATGTACCCCAGTGGACAAATTCAGTATAAAGCATCTTCATGTGTGTTTATGTGTGATATGTGAAATGATGCAGCAGTTGCAGGCTTAAACCTCCTCTTCCAAGGTAGCCCCTATCTGAATCAGATGTGAAATATCCTTTTTTAAAACACTGAGGACAGCCAATTAAGGATATTCTGATGTGTTATCTTTTTTTTTAACCCAAAGCCTCTTAAGGATCCAAAGAAACAATAAACTAGAGAAATAAACTAGAGAAAACTGACTCATGAAAGCTCATAAAAAGGTAAAGGTTTCCCTTGCTCGAAAGCCAGTCGAATCCGACTCTAGGGGGAGGTGCTCATCTCAGTTCCCAAGCCAAAGAGCCAGTGCTGTCTGAAGATGTTTCCATGGCCATGTGGCCAGCATGACTAAACGCTGAGGCACACGGAATGCTGTTACCTTCCCACTGAAGCAGTACCTATTTATCTACTTGCAATTTCTTGCTTTTGAACTGCTAGGTTGGCAGGAGCTGGGGCCAGAGATGGGAGCTCACTCTGTCATGTGGCACTAGGGTCTCGAACTGTCGAACTACAGACCTTCCGGTCTGCAGCTCAGTATCTTAACCTCTGAGCCACCGCAGCCCCCATGAAAGCTCACCCCCTGCCACAAATGTACTTTAAGGTGCTACTGGACTCTTTTCTACTAGTTGAGCCAGCAATCTGAAGAACAGAGAAACTATTCTAAGTGCCAAAAAATTCATCAGAGATCTTTAAATAAAATATTTTAATTGTTGCCTTCTACAGAGCCTATTAATATACAACTAGCAACACTATATTCCATTTCTTCCCAAACTTCCAGTCCTTTACTACTAATTTTTAATTCAGACAGGGCATGTTTGCCATGGAGATCAATATTCCCCAGGTGTGTTTCCCACCCACCAGCTGTCATGTCAAGCATCACTCACTATATTAATTGAAACTATAACATAATCATTTTCCATTCTCCATATTGGTGGCTGTTGACAAAGACACAATACTCGGTGATGACTGACATTATGCCTGCAGGGATGGGTTTAGAAAACTCACCATAAAGATGTCAGTTCCATAGTCTGGGCCTATGAGAGAGTCCAGAAGGCTTACGTTTAAATGATGAGAGCTGTAATGCTTCTTATCAGTGCAATACCTGTTTATATTAATAGCAATCTTCGATGGTAAAAGCCGCACAATATTGGTCTGTAGTGGTGGATCCAGTTGAGGCGTTCATAGATAACTCATGACTCAACTTATCTGGTCACCTGGATCCACGCCACAGTTAACATCAGAACTAGACTACTGTAATGCAATCTATATAGGTCTCCCCTAAAAATCAGTTCAAAAACTCTAGTTAATGCAGAATGCCACGGCTCAGTTATCAGGATGCGTGCATATTACACCCATTCTAAAGTCAGTCCATTGGCTGCCTATTGGTTACTGAGTTCAATTCAAGGTACTGGCCATCACATACATCATGGTCTTGGACCCCCCTAGCTGCAAGACTGCTCTCCTCCTGTGTCCCATCACAACAACATCACCCATCCAAACAGGGCCTTCTACAGGTGCCACCCTGCAATTGGACAAGATCTACAACTGCCCATACAGGTGCATTCTCTGTAGTAGCCCCCACCCAGTCAGGCCTCTGCTTGTGGAGTCAGGAAGGCTCTCGCACTTTCAGCTACAACAGAACTGTTCAGGAGAGCATTTTTGTAGAGGAATTAGGTCCATACTATAACGGAATGATTAAGGAATACATTTCAGTAGAGGGAACAGAATTGTGGACTGTACTACTAAAATGTATTTTCAGTTGCTGTATTTTTATCTTGCTCTCGCTTATTTCCACTTATGTAATACCATTTGTTGCATTGTCCAAAATGTCATATTTAATATGCCTTGTTTCAGGTTTCCGCTGCCCTAGTCCTAGTACATTGTTTGATATATCCTCATCCTATTGATTTTACTGACGTGCGTTATGTAATCCGACTTGAGTCTCAGTGGGAAAGGCGGACTATAAAATAACATAAAGAAATAAACTAAATAAGCAATGAGAAGGTCCAGGTATGTTATGGTGCTGCAGTCCTGAAATGATTATAACTTCCAGCCAATGCAGCTCATCCTGTGCCACCAGATTTTGTTTCTTTTCATTAACTGATAATTAGGGGGGGAAAGGCCGCAAAGAGTCGGTCAAGGGAGCAAAGTTGACTAGTGCACCAGAACGGTACAGAGCAAACTAGATGCAGCCCAGGAATTCCATGATTAGGATCTCCCACATTTTTTAAAAGCCTAAAGTTGTGGGAAGGGGGGTGATAGTCAGATCAGGACCAAGGCTGTGGGGTATCGTGTTCCTGGTATCATTGACACCACAGGAACCGCAATGTATTCCATGCCGTGAAACGTGCAGGTTGTGTTATGGTTTCTCTGTTTCTCCCTGCTGGGCAGGTAGCAGCTCGGTGGCAGGTTGAACACACATGAACCCATAAAGCTGCAGCAGCTGTCCGGTATTTCAGTCTTCCACATCACCTACTACCTGAACACGGGCCAAGCATTTGTTCTACCCCTGAGCCATGCCGCCTCCCCTCAAAAAGGTTGGGAAATCAGCATGGCAGAGAAGGGTTGCCGCCGTCCCCCGCCCTCCGAACTGCAACCCCGGTCTGAATCCCCAGTTCCTTTCCTGTGGTGTTTTAGTCTATTAAAAATATGGGAGGCTCCAATGACAGATCTATATAGTCAAATCTAACTTGGCCCTTAGGAATATAGTTCCGAGTTTTGTTAGACTGGAGAGTAACTAGTGAAGTGTCAATGGCCAGACCCTCACTCTGTTTAACTTCAAGTTAGCGTCTTAGTTTAGATGCATGCACACCTGATAACTTTATAGAAAAAAAATGAAGCTGAGATTCAGAATAAACTTGACACCTCTGCTTGCTAATGCTGCTCTATATCCTGTAATAATGAGCTAGTCAAAGAAGGCAGCAGTTCTCTGTTTATCAAGGAGTGGAGGGAAATGTAGATCCCCCCCCCTTCGAGAGTAAAGTAGTCTTTTAACAGCATAGCACCTATTAGCAATTAACATTTGAATCTGATTATTGTAATCCAGAAGTGGAGGCCTCATTAAAAGAGATGAATATTCCAAAATTCTCACTAAATAATCAGTAGAAGGCACCCCTGCTGGTTGGGAATGCAGCTTTATGTGATTTTGTCTCTAAATGGTATATTGGCCTCAGTGTTTTTAATTATATTAGAACTGTTTCAGTTGCTTTGGCAGGGGTGGGGTCATTTTCAGAGTAATTCGCGTTATCTCTGATTTATCCATCTTGCCTGGCTGAAAATGATAAGAGAGCATACTGGCCAGCAGCTGGTGTACACATTTTTAGCATGCATTTGCATCTCTCTGAGTGTCGCTCCCCAGCGTCTTCTGAGACGTTTGAAAGGATCCAGAGTGAGATTGCCAACCTCCAGGTAGTGGCTAGAAATCTGCTGGGATTTCTGCACGTTGGAATTCTTGAGGTACATTAGTGCTGTGACATAGTTTCCTCCAGGCCTCAGTGAACCAGTCCACCCCTGGAAAGACCGTGTTAGAATCTATAACGAGATAGCTTAGGAATTGTCTGGACGGATCAGATCAAAGCTCCTTCTAAGTTGTGCAGCCACCTAGCTATTATTGAAAGAAGAAGGCCTTCTCTGTCCCCAGCATTTGATATTCTTAAGGGTACCATGACGATATTTAGCTACCATAGTACCTTACAGTATTACATGCCAAAGGTTCCAGGTTCAGTCTGTAGCATGTCCAGCTAAAAGGAACTCAGATAGCAGGTGTTAAGAAAGACCATTCTTTGATTCCCCGAAAAGCTGTTGCTAGTCAGAGCAGACAATACTGTGCTCATGTATTGATCATAGCTAACAGCCATTAGTAAAGCAACTCAGGGAGGGGCTGTGGCTCAGTGGAAGAGCCTCTGCTTTGCATGCAGAAGGTCCCAGGTCAGAGGTCATTTTGGGGGGGAACGCGGGGGAACACAGTTCCCCCGGGTGAGGTAAGGGGGGCGGGGCACATCAGGAGCCCCCGCCCCCCGCTTCCGGCAGCCCCGCTTCCGGCCCTCATTCAGCCAGGAGGAGGCAAGAGAAGAGGGGGGAGTAAGTTGCTTCCTCCCTGCCTCTCCCCACCCCTGCCTGCCTGGGGCCAGGGAGGGCCTTCGCGGGGCTTCCTTGCACTCCCGCCGGCCTCGCAGGTCCACCGCCGGCCCCCTCATGGGGCTCGGCAGTGGAGCTGCAAGGGCGGCGGCCGGGACCGTTGGGGGCGGGGTGTATGGCCTTATGACACACTTCCGGTGATGTCAGGGGGTGTGGCATAT